TTGACTTCTTGACTGTTTGAATGACCAAAATCGATAACTTGAGACAGAGATAGAGATGGTAGACCAAGTAAACTAAATAAACATGTGTACACAAGGCTCAGTAGTACAATGTAATTAAGTAGGTAAGATAGCCAAATAAATAAGTAACGGTGTCCGTTGGCCAAGGTAGTAGTATCGGCCGTATAAATCGTTTTTGGACACATAATTCCGGCTTTAGATGGTGAATGTACATAGCCTCGGCGATGGATAAGAGCTGTTTGCGGTTTTGGTCATTCAAACAGTCAGGAAGTCAATCCCAGCCCCAGTTGACGCTATCTCCACAATCGCTGTTATGTAAACGTTTGGGTCCGATGCGAGTTACCGAAAAGAATTCTTTACCCTGAAATGATTTCTGATATTCCTCTTTGCATATTCGTCGCTACCACTACACTTCTATCCGTTACACTTTTAGCTCGCGACTCTATTCACAGGCGGATTAATCCTGGGTTCCTAGATCTTGATTCTTCACCTTTATCTGTCCCTGACTGCTTGATTATACTACAGCCCTTTGGAACTGTCTGCTCAAGGGAGATATGCGCGGTAAATATTTAAACTACCAGCTCGGTTTGCGCGCGTAGTTCGAGCAAAGAGGTTTTATGGCGAACTGTCACCTCCCTTGAGTATCCCCTGCATTGCGAGGCAAACTTGCTTGCTGTCACCTTTCCTCTTTAGTTTGCCATGGACGAAGTCATGAAAACGGCGTTCGCTGTGCACGACCTACAAGGTGTGGAGCTACTCCCAAGTGACCGACTTCTTGACTGAGTTTGCAGACGATATCGCGCTATTCTGTGACAGCTCTCAAACCCTCTAGGTATCAGCAGTACGCCGGTACCCAGTGCCGACGCTTCGCTGCCGCGCAATCACCACCAGTCGCACATGGGTTAAAGATACCGCGAGAATTGCTCGGTCCCCTGCATAGGCTCGAACCCTCACCGGTTTGAAGACGGACTTGTGAACCTTAATGGCACGGGCCGGCGCGATGTAAAAATTGGCTTCATGGACATCAGCCTCATGTGTTTGCACCAATTGACCGCTGCGGAACACGCGCGGGAAAGTTGGGAAGCAGAGTTCAAACAAGTTGGCATCGCCAAGCGATGACTTGGTCAAGAGAAATGAAGTCCCTCCCTACCAAGTTGGCGTCAGTTGCTGTTTCCTGACTGCCTGACTGGGGACCGAAGGATGATGGACACGTTTGGTTGGATACACTAGTCAACATGGCGAAGAATCGACATCAATGGCGTTTGTGTTTTGAGTCCCTTTGTTCCCCCCTTCCCTTAAGCTTTTCTCTCCAACAGCGATCAAAAATGTGATATTATCATTCTGTTACTTTTTCCTAACATTTTAGTCTTATCCTTTTTGTATTGCGGCACACGAGCTCTGTACTCACTCTGCGATCCCCTTCAGGTGACACTAGCAGCACTTTCTCATTGCGCCTATCCGGTGACGATGCAGCTTCGAGCACTGGCCAAGCCGGTGTTGGTATTGCCCTGAGTCCCCGGGCTGAAGCTGCTCTAGTTGATTGGATTCTAATCAGTAGCCGAATGTGTGCGGTCCGATTGGCTGGCTCGTTCAAAACTTCGAAGTCGCGTGGGACTAACAGGTGTCTATTCGTTATCGCTGCCTATGCACCGACAAACTGTAGCGATGACTTGGTAAAAGACGACTTCTATCGCCAACTGAACGAACTCCTTCGCCACAGAAGAAGCTCGGACACTGTAGTGCTGGCTGGGGATCTGAACGCTCAAGTTGGAAAATTATCCACTGATGAGCTGCATCTGGGCGGCCAACATGGTATAGGCTCCCGTAATGATAACGGTGAGCGGTTACTTCATTTGTGTGAGGATGCTCGCTTATTTCTTGCGAGCACTAATTTCGACACAGCACCCGCCGGAGGGTGACTTGGTGCCCACCAGCCTCGAACCAGCTATGGACGCAAATCGATCACATTGCTATCAGTTACCGCTGGAGAGGCTGCGTCCAGAACTGTCGCTCGATTTGGAGCACAGGTGTTGACACCGATCATGCACTTGTATGTGCTGTCTTGCGGATGCGCTTTGGCGGACGCCCGCGACGATGTTGTGAGCGCATTGACACCGGCAGACTGGTGAATCCAGCTGTTCTGAACGCCTATCAAATTACGCTGTCATCCGAGTTGGATAAACGCTCACTGGATGCAATTGAAGCTCACTGGTCTCATATGCAACAGGCCTTACTAGCAGCAGGCAAATCCTCATGTGGTATGTCTAATAGACAACATGGACATTGGGTCTCTTCACAGTCTCTGGAACTTATAGATGTTCGCCGGCATATTCCGGCTGGAAGCGAACACAATGAAACTCGCAAAGAGCTCCGGGCAAAACTCCGTGCTAGCCTGAAGAGAGACCGCGAATCCTGGTGGTCTCGTCGTGCAACAGAGATGGAAATGGCCGCTGCCCTTGGTAACCATCGTGAGTTATTCCGTCTGATACGGGAAACGGGCAGCAGGAGACCTGGTGTTAGTGAAACTATACGTGACGAGAGTGGACAGCCTATCCACAACTTATCAAAACACCTGGAACGTTGGGCTGAGCACTTTGAAAGTCAATTTACTCGGTCGGAATTGTTAGATTTCTCGCCGGCGAGTGATCGCCCTGCTCCGTGGGCTGTTCCTTTGGATCCACCCTCTCGCTCAGAAATCGAACATGAGATCAAACTGTTGAAGTTAAATAAAGCCGCGGGACCTGATGACCTTCCTCCAGCCCTCTTCAAATTCGGGGGACCTGCTCTTGTGGATGATTTACACGAGTTACTAGTGAGACTGTGTGAGCAGGAAACTGTCCCAACCTATTGGAGCCGCTCCATCATAGTCCCAATTTTCAAAGGAGGCTCACGATCGGAATGCAGCAGCCATAGAGGAATCAGTCTGATCTCCATCGCCTCCAAATTGGTTGCCTCTGTCATCCTTCACAGACTGACTGGCACTCGTGAAAGCCAGATTCGCGAAGAGCAAGCTGGATTTCGTCGAGGTCGTAGCTGCATTGACCACATCTTCACCTTGCGTCAGTTGTTGGAGCACCGTCACATATATTGGCGGCCCACCGTTGTCGTGTTCCTCGATATCAAAGGTGCATTCGATTCGGTGGATAGACATGCACTTTGGGACTGTCTACTCAGGAAAGGTGTACCTGAGAAATATGTGAATATTATCCGAGCATTATATGGGCGTAGCTCGGGCAGAGTGAGGGCTTAGGGCAAGTTGTCGTCGCCCTTTAATATCTCCAGCGGCGTGAGACAAGGATGCCCGCTGTCACCTTTCCTCTTCAACTTCGCTGTTGACGAAGTCATGGCAATCGCGTTCACAGGACACGACTTGGAAGGTGTGGAGCTACTACCAGGAGAACGACTTCTTGACTTGGAGTATGCTGATGATATTGCCCTGATCTGTGACAACTCACAAACGTGCCAAGCGGCACTGGACAGATTAGCACCAGCTGTCCGTCACTTCGGGCTTTGCTTCGCACCCTCGAAGTGCAAAGCGTTTATCCAAGATTGGTCTGGACCACCCCCTACGCTGACCCTTGGTGGGGATCAGCAAGAAGTCGTTCAAAAATTCAACTACCTGGGAAGTTGTATCAGCGCCTGTGGGATTGAAGATGAGATCACGAATCGTATAGCAAAAGTTCGGGGCGCTTTTGCCAACCTTCGCCACTTATGGCGCCGGCGCGACATCACTCTTGCTCTGAAGGGTAGAGTGTACAATGCAGCAGTATGTTCGACCCTATTGTACGGTTGTGAAACCTGGCCGCTTAAAGCAGCGGACCTGAAGAGGCTAGTTACGTTCGACCACCGGTGCCTTCGAAATTTAGCTCACATTTGGTGGGAACACCGCGTGAGCAACGAGCGTGTTCGACGCCTTGTTTATGGCACAGGAAAAGGAAATGAACCGCTCAGCACCGTTATTTCACGCATCAGTCTCCGATGGCTCGGCCACGTGTTACGCATGCCAGCCCACCGACTTCCGCGACGTGTGTTGTTTTCGCGCCGGGGGTGTGAATGGAAGAAGAGGAGGGGTGGCCAAGCAATGACTTGGTCGAGAGGAATGAAGGCCCTCACTTCTGAGCTGGCCTCGGTTGGAGCGTCTCGGTTCTCTGGTTGGGGTCCGAGAGACGATGAACACGTTTGGTTGGACACACTTGCTGATGTGGCTAGGAGCCGACCTCAGTGGCGTTCGTGCTGAGTTTCTTTGTCCCATCCCATCCCTCTTAGCCTCCCCTCCAACCACGATCTCATTACTTAGCCTTATGTAATTTTGCATAATAATTTTTTTGGGTGCACAGCAGCCGGCTGGTAGCTTACCGGAACGATGCCCATCCGTTACCGGTAGCTCAGCCAGCTTTCACCAGTTGCTTTTTCTCTCTCCTTTTTTCTTTGTATTGCGGCACAGTAGCCGAGGTGTTCCCCACCTCTAGCTAACGTGTATGATGATGATGATGATGATGATGATGATGACATGAGCTGAGGTATGTTCCTCACCCTCTGCTAACGTGTATTGGTGAACATGATAGTGGTTTGATCCAACAGAGTTTTATCACAGCTCGGTCGCTGCTGTTTTCCTACTCGCGACCTTCGTCTCGAGCTGACTTTACCGGTCCTTCTTGCCCGTATGCGTCTGCATGGATCGTCACTGTGTAACCAGTCCTATAATGTCCCATTTGTACACGAGAAAATAAGGGACGATGCACACTTAGACGACCATTGCTGTTCTCCCTTTGCCTTCGATTTTCGTTGACAGAACTATTAGGCCAACTAGCTCCCGTTCTTGTTCTTACCACCCATACCCCTCAGACTGAATCCCCGCGGCAACCGTAACCTCCAGCAACCACTCACGAATTGATAGCCAACCACATCCTCTATGCAGTCCTATTTTTAATACGTGGTTATGATAATTTCATGCAACCGCATATGAAATCTCTGCTTTTCATTGCAGCCTCCCAAGTCTGCTACGACCTACTCCACATCTTTGAAACAGAAGTTTGATATCTTCAATCGGACGCGTACTGCACACATCTACCGCTGCGCGGAGTACAGACTATGGCGGCTTTGCTTACCGATTCTGAATTGAGACAGGAACTGAAGCTACATGGCTTTGAACCCGGACCTATAACAGATACGACACGGTCTGTGTATATAAAAAAGTTAAATAAGCTCAAATCGGAGCCTAACTCTGGATCCCAGCCAGTCGTCAACTCACGAAGATCTCGTGGCCCTCGAGTTTCACCAACAAAGCCATCCAGTGGCGATACCCTCCAGCGTGAAATCACCGCTGAGACACCACGGACAACGCAAGGTTCACATAGTTTAAGGAACGCAGCTAGGGCTATCATCGCTCAATCAGGTAGGAGTGCTAGTAGCTTTATGGACTTTTTAAATTTGTTACTAGCTGAATACTATTACATTGTTATTCTGCCAGTTTACAGATTCTCTCAAAATTTTACGACTTATCGCCATATAATTCAAACACTGACCTGTCCTTAAATCGCTGCTCACTGCGGTTCTTCAATGTTAGCTTTCTTCCGCATTCGCTTAATATCTCGAGGTAACGAACTGTGCTGTATGTTGATGCGCGCATTGTAATTGTAACTTGAGTGGAGGTGCAACGGGACAATACACTTATTTGCCTAATGTAGGCTCAACTCTTCGGGCTACTTGAAGGTCCACATCTTAGGCTGCAGCCTTGATTTAGTTCATCTGAAGTTGCTGCACTGATTGATCACTGAACTAAATGACGCATTCATATGCGCATTTGTTGCATTTTTAGAAATAGTAACAACATCTACTTGCCAGTCACAAATCCACCAATTTGACAAGCGTAGTAGCTAAGCTGTTAGCAGAGTTGACGTGGGATTTGGGAGTGAACCGCTTGGACAACTCTAATCTACTTATCGGTAGGCGACACGAATTCGGGCCTGACTACGTTACTGGTGTCTCGTGAGTGTTAAGCAGGACAGTCTCCCATCAGACATACTGTTCGTTGACTTTTGACACCCTCATTTACGACCCTCATTGAAGTTAACCTCTTGCATTACATCTGATCGCGCCCTTAACTGGGTGCCTGCACCTACAGACGGGAGAGAATGGTGTATATGTGTGGGACGCAGCGTTGCACTTAGATAAGGCAGCGTCCCACAGGGTTCGGTACCTGCGTCGTTATTTTTCCAATTTGCACATGCTTTGTCCGTGGAGATACCTTCTCTCATGTGTTATACTCTGGAATCTCATTGATGTCCCTGCATGTTTTAAGACCAATCGGCTTGCCTTGCATATGCTCTAGGATTGGTCTACCGTATGGTTAGTTCCAATTGACTGATCAGTGTTCCATCCTCCGTATTGGAACATTTGGTCTATCCACGGAATTTGCTTTCTTGGAGGATTATGCTTTGTTCCATCGAAATGCAAAGTACTTCTCCACTCCTGCGCTAACGCTTGGTGGTGATCTGCTAGAGGTCCTTCAGGAATTCAAGTACCTGGACAGCTATATTAGCGCCCGTGGGGTCGAAGATGAGGCTACGAACCGTATAGCAAAAGCTTGAGGTGCTTTTGCCAATCTCCGCCACCTGTAGCGCAGGCGCGACGTTACTCTTGCCCTGAAGGACAGAGTTTATATCGCAGCCGTCCGTTCAACCCTCCTGTACGGTTGTGAAACATGGCCCATCAGGTCGACAGACATGAAGAGGCTCGTCACATTCGATCATCGCTGCCTTCGCAGCTTAGCTCATGTCTGGTGGGAGCACCGCGTGAGCAATGGTCGTGTTCGGCGTCGCGTATTTGTGCAAGAAGAGTGAGTGAACCACTCAGCACCATTATATCACGCACCAGGCTCCGATAGTTGGGCCACGTGTTGCGCATACCAGCACACCGACACCCGCAACGTTCATTGTTTGCGCACCGGGGTGTGGTTGAAAGTGGAGGAGTGGCAGAGGCCAAGCGATGACTTGGCCGTGAGAAATGAAAACCCTCACTTCGAAGTTGGCGTCGGTTGTGTTGTAACGCTTCTTTCCTTACCTCTGCTCTCTGCCACTGACGACTGTTGTACTGCTGCTAGCTGCCCCTTGAGACTGCGACTGTCTGACTGCTCAGTCACGCGCCCAGCCCACCAACGGAATGCAGAAGACTAAGGTTAAATTGCTATTCGCTGGAAAGTACGACGATTTATAGACATTTATGTAGAACTTTGTGCGCACCAGCTTGTGATCAGTCCCACATTCAGCTCCACGCATTACCCGCGTTATGCGTACTTCACGCATGTCCCGTTGACGTACGATGACGTAGTCCAGCAAGTGAGCATGACCACTCCGTGGGTGGGTCCATGTAGTAATGCCCCCTAGCACACAGAGCAAACTGAGTGTTCATGATCGTCAAGCCATGTGTAGCACACAATGAAAGCAAGCGCTCTCCGTTCCCATTGACTATCCCAATCGCGTACGGCCCGATCACCTCAGCCCATACTGTGGCATCACACCCTACACGTGCATTGGAGTCACCAAGCGGGAATAGTCGATCATTCATATATATATATATATATATATATATATATATATATATATATATATATATATATATATATATATATATATATGGCTGCGCTTGATGTGCATGTTGACAAGGTGCCTACCTGTCTATTACCTACTACCTCGCCCAAACTGGCTCCAGGAGACAGTTGGTCATTGCTGAAGGGGACGGCCTGCACGGTTCTTGTGGCCGTGTTAGAATCAAAGAGTGGTTCCATGCACTCAGTGTGTAGCGGACTACGGTCCAGCCACCGTCTTGTGTGCGCTTGATTCCCAAATACAGCGTGCTTGTGTTTTCCTGTGATGGAGTGTGGGCCGGCACCGTTGATGAAACATGGCTCCCATCCACGTGCCTCGCGGTCTTACTCCTTCGGGTTTACACTGGATATGGGGTATGTGGTTGGAGCTTTTGGTGGTGAAGCGCAAGCCACCCATGGTCCCTCTGTTGGCGCAGGCGTCCTGTGGCTGGCCATAGTGATAAACAAATTCGAAACCGGATGTCGCTAGCCATATTCAACACGGCCAATAGTACCATTGGCATAGTGCCACAACGTATGGATGATACAATAAACATACGAAGATAGGGAAAATATACCGATCTTCATGGGAATAGTGAGTCATAACAAGTCCACCATCGTGCACGATTTTTGCCACATCCATTAGCGTTTCCAGCCATGTGTGTTCCGAATCCTTCACACTCCTGCTAGGGAGCCGAGAGCGCCCGACCACGGCTAACTTTGACGTTAGCTCCTTCATGCTCCTGGCCTAAGTTATATGTTGGCCACCTTGGTTTCGCTTCCAGCCGACTTTTGCGTGCGCGAAGATGGCACGGCGAGGTAGGCGATGAGTAGGCATACGGAGTACGTGCCCAAGCCATTGAAGTCTGCGCAGAGAAATTATACTGCTCAGTGGCCGACAAAGTCTGTCTGATCTGAAAATCCTTCGTCGAGTATCTTCATTCCTAGTGTGATGCTGCCATCGTACACCAGCAATGCTTCGAAGGCAGCGGTGATCAAAAACAGACAGCCTCTCAATATCCTTTGCGCGAACATGCCAAGTCTCGCAGCCATAGAGGAGAACCGCTCTCACTGTGGTATTGTAAACTCGGCCCTTCAGAGCTAAAATCGGATCACCTCGACGTCAGAGATGACGGAGAGTGGCAAAAGCCACCCAATTCTAAGAGACGCGCAAAGGAACCTCATCCGGTAAACCATAAGCGCTGAGGCAGCTTCAGAGGTAAACGAACTTGTCCACCACTTCTAATGAATGACCTAGAAAGGTAAGGTCAACAGAAGCGCCTAACCAGTCCTGCAAAAAAACCTTGCATTTCGATGGTGCGAAGGTCATGCCAAACTGGGAGACAGATATCTCGAACCTACACAGAACATTTTGGGCGGTCTGTGAGGAAGCGCAGATTACGGCGATGTCGTCTGCATACTCCAAATCCCGAAGTCGGTCCCCCGGAAGCAGCTTGACGCCGCTGGGTTCGCAGTTCTTCAGAGGACTTTCCAAGAGTTCGTCTATAGCGAAATCGAACAAGAAGGGGGATGCTGGGCAACCCTGTCTTACACCATTGGTTTTACCAAAGGGGGGAGAAAGTTCACCATACACCCGCACTCGGCCCGAGGTTTAAGAGTAAATGGCTTGAAGTAAGGAGACATACTTCTCGGGCACTCCCCTACTCAGTAGACAACTCCAGAGAGCAGTTCTGTGGACTGAGTTAAACGTGGCTCGCATGTCTAAGAAGACAACGATCGTTGGCTGGCCAAATGTTTGACGACGTTCGAGTATTTGGCGGAGTATAAAGATGTGATCGATGCAACTTCGATCTGAGCGGAATCCAGCTTGCAGTTCACGTATGCTCTGTTCGCGTACCAGGCTGAGCCTCCTTACAAGCAGAGCTGCGAGCTCCTTAGAAGCAACACAGATAAGACTAATCCCTCTGTGGTTGGCGCAGTCAGTTAGGGTACCCTTTTTGAAGACGGGCACGATGTCCGCTAGGCTCCAATCAGATGGGATAACTTCAGTGACGCAGCTCTCTTGGAGGAGAGAAGTTAACTCCTGAACAAGTGATGGGCCGCCATCTTTGAAAACAGCCGGACGGAGTTCATCAGGGCCAGGGGCTTTGTAGCGCTTTAAGAGGCGAACCTCGTGGGCAACCTCAGCCTCGGATGGTGGTGAAGCGTTTACACGCCAGGTAGCGCTCTGGGCTCCAGAAGGGGAACTCATTGGTGCTGCTGGCCAATTAAACTGCTGTTCAAAGTGCTCGGCCCAACGCTCCACTCGAGGTTTTGAGTGGATTGGCTCGCCAATGGTTTCGAGTAAAAGTTCGCTTACAATCGGCTTTTGGCCGCCAGTAGACCGGATCAGGAGGAAAAGCTTACGAAAATTCCCCAAGGTGGCCGCTTACTCTATCTCAATGACCCGCTGCGTCCACCAGGCTTCGCGATCTTCCCGGAGAAGCTGTTTGAGATCAGCGCTAGTAGTCTTGCGTAGTGAATAGTATTTAACGCTAGTAAGAATTGCTCGACGGGCTTCGAGGAAGGAATCATGCAGAAATCCAGTGCTTAACAGGACTATTGGTGAAGCCACAGACGACGGTTGCAGAGTTGTACATGGCGCCACGGATGTGTGTTCAGTGTGTTTCAATGTCCGTGCATAGGGAAGTCTTCCGTCGTGAGGCCAAGGTATCTTGAAATGCGTGGAGAACGTTTGGGGTAGAAAGCTTAGCTACGTCAAGCCGCTTCTGGCGACGCTGCTGGGAGCCACGAAAACGTAGCACAACTTTGGCCCACACCAGCGCGTGATCCGAAGTGAGATAGGTACT